AATTGGCTTGGAGAAAATCTTCGTTATAAACAGATCTTCGTTATAACCGAAGTTCGTTATAGCCAGCTTTGACTGTACATGTTTTTTTGTGTTCTTTCATACGTTGATTAATCTCTTCGAGTAATAGGTCTGGTCGATATTATAATGCTGATAAATTTGCGGCATCGAATCTATGATAAAGAGGCTCAATTCAGGAGCATAAAGGCAGAGAAGGAAAGACTTTTAAAGGATTTAGGTTTACAGGTGTACAAAGACGACGACGATAACAAAACCAATGACAATAAATTGCTTAGCAATGAAGAAGAAAACACATAGTGATTGTTACATGTTGTTAAAGAAATTAACCGTCAGTTTAATTCAAGAAAAACTGTTCATTAATAATTCAGAATTACCCCAATTAATTGCAGATTTTGAAATTATTTGTTGTAACCCAGATTGAGTAAGATGTTCTTTTAGTTATCATTAAATTAATACATTGTTCACTAATTAAGTTTCCTTATTATTTCCTGCGACCGATAGTTCGGCCCAGGAAAAAAATATTTACTAATTCTGAAAAAGATATTATTCGAAATATTAGTAATTAGTTCCAGATACCGCTGAGCATTCCCAACGGCTGAAGACATCGTACTTAGATTAATGTAATGGTAGAGCTACAATTAGTGAGCTCCATAGTTATTTATGTTATTAGTGATATTACAAATGGGAAGATTGCGTGATGAATTATCTTTTCAATTTGTTAGAAACATCCAAATTGACGAAAATGATGGTTCTGAAAGAACAATAAACATAGGAAGTTATATTGATACAAAACATGCTTAATCTCATCCAGCGACCAAAGCCTAATATTATGCAATCGCATAACGCTTTTTCCTAAGACGTTCACATTTAGACGCTTGACGAAGTTTTAATTTCTTATTATGATTTGATTATGTGATTACAGCATTCGTGTCGAGAGAAAATAAGTCGTATAAATAAAGGTTAGCAAAGGCCAATATTGAAATGGAGGGAGGAGGGGGATACGCAGATAGCTGGACTTTCGGATGGCTATCTGTCACGATTATTTTGCGAAAGATTCTCTTCACAGGGATTTTACGAAAATACGAGGCATATCTTTTTATTTAACGTGGTGGTTGTTATCAGTCTCTTTCGTCATTCTAAACTTGATGTCACAAGCTTTATAGACAATACAGTTTGGATGTCGGGTATTATAAAGGGGATACTAGAATAGCGCGCTTGCATTTTCTCTGACATGTATACAACATTTCTTATTTTTGACTAAATGACAATTCCTTCCTTTATTGGCAAATGCTATCGCTATAAACAGTGATTGCAGTAAACTCTGTTAAAAAATGATAAATTTACGACTACCTGGTGTATTCTAATAACACCGCTGCGTTATATAAACGTAGCGGCAATTTTATTTGTTTTGGAGAGTTACTTTTGTATTCCAAAATTGTTTTATCAAAATAAACAATAAGAAATGTACAGAAATAAATATTGGATTAATATACATGAATGAAAGTTGAGAATTCATTTTCTGAGAGCTCGTTAGTATTAGAAGGACTCTCAATCATCCGATTTACCCAGAAGAGATCGATCAACCTCAATGCATACACCGGCTTCACTAATAGTAGTATCAACATAGCATCTATCTTGGACAAGACCAGAAGATTGATTATGAATCAACTTTGCCACTGCTAAATCACTCATCTAAGCTGGTTTACATCATGAACGACGGCATCGAACCCTACTCCTCC